GAAAAATGGGTAAATGAAAAATAGATTAATGAAAAATGGGTAAATAGATAAAGACATTAATGAAAAATATGGAGAGCCGTTTTAGCCAAAATTAAATAAATAAATAAATGGTTGACCACCATCCTCTCCCCTCTTGGTTAAATTGCAGTTTCCTGACTTGCATCCGGCTTAAATTGTGGGCTGGTTGTGTGCAGGAAGTGGTATGACTTTGCACCAAAAGGGGTTAATTGACCACAAAAACATAAATGTTTTTTGCTAAATTTAAGACAAACACCAAAGATAAGAAAATTGAACATAAAAAGTGAAAGTGGGTTATTAGGACTGACAAAGTGATTTTTCAAAAATCCTGTTTCTTTACGTGAGCATGTTTTTGTTCCTGATCTTCCACACAATTGTCGTCATGGCACGTAAAAGAAACTGACTGAATATTACTGAATAAAGCAGTCAAAGTTTAAACAGAAAATAGAGAACCACTGATAAATATCACTTCAAAAGATCGCGATGTCCTGGAATAAAAGCATAAAAACAGTTGGTTTAAAACAGTTATTAAGTATTAAATACATCTCTACGATCTAAAAAGTGATTTAAAGTGTTGACATTATGTTTTAGTTGAAGGTTTGCAGCCTCCGTCATGCAGCAGTGGCGGGGCTTTGCCCTAACCAATATGGCGGCAGCGCTGACGTCTATCCGGAAGCAGAGGCGGGACTCCGTTGTTTTGAACTATGAACTGTGGCCACGTTGTCACGAGAAGGACGAACCACGATAACCAGGAAGCTAGGTGTGGACTTCATTCTTGTACAAAAACTACAAACAAGTAAGTAAAAATGAAAACGGCTTGGTGCGAAATATATATGTTTTACTTTTGTTTGAACTCAGCGGCGTTAATATTGTATCTGTTTTTGTGTTTAAAGCCAGAACAACAACTCAGTGTGTCATAAGGGAAGAAGCAGCTACTGTAGTGTAGTGAACTGCAAACAAATGTTTGTCCTAACTTCACAGCTTTACACAAGTTTTTGGCTATATCTAAAAGAGCTGCTATGACTCTTTTATTTAACACAATATAATGCTTAAAATTAAAATTAAGATAATTAAGATTTTGTATAATTAAATGATCAGTATGCTTGGATGGGTTTATCCTCTTGTTGTTGCATGTACTGATAGCACAGAATTAGAATTGTGTTTTTCTTTAAGGAAAAAAGTTAATGTAGGACTTGTTTGTTTGTTTGTTTGCTTTTTCATATGAGAGCAGGGTACCTAAAATCTTACATAGAAACAATTAGCAGAACAATGTCATCCAGAATATATACATGGCTTCTGAAATGTTTAGATCCAAAGGTGATCTAATCAGCATCCGTCCATTGGGGCCCAGGCATACTGTTCTCCGGTTGTSTGTGTGTTAGTGCGGTGTCTGTCTGTCATGATATTGCCTGAATGAAATTGCATATTCACTTATAAATAGGCATAGTAAGTCCAGTACGGTAGTACTGAGTCTGATTAGATTTGGACATAAAAGGTCAAGGTTTTGATTTGATTTGATTTATTTATTTAGCACATAAGAAGTAAAACAAAGAATAAAAAAAAAACAATTCAAAATGACATATTTCATGTACAAGGGAAGGGTAAAAAGCCTAAATAGGCTTATGTAATGTATGTATGTATGTAAAAACACTCCCAATCAAATCAAACTACAACACAACAGTAAAAAAAAAAAAAATACATAAAATAGAAATAACCACACAAATAAAAATAATGAAAATGGAACAAAATCAATAAAAAATAGACATCAAAATAAAATATAAAATCTATCAAAATACATGCAAAAATAAAAAAATCTAAAATCACTTGAATTATACATTACAAAATCAACAGCTTGGTTTTTAATCTATTTTTATACACAGAAAGAGGTATTGTTCAGTGTGTGAAGGTGAGTGTGAATGGGTCTGTTAGTGTAAAACGCTTTGGGGTCCGGAGGGAATTGAAAAGCGCTCTATAAGTTCAGTCCATTTACCATTTTTTACCATTGAAGGTTCCACAAGTTCAACATTAGAATTCCACATTTTAGCTCCATAAAATCTTATTGAAAATTGGTCACTCAATGATTTGTATAATGGAAGATGCAATTGAAAAGATTACCTAGTAGGATAATAATGAATTTGTAAGGTAATTTATGATTGATAATATAAAACTGGCCTTTTTTATGATTCCTCGACAGTACAAATAAAATAGGTTAAGTGATATGGTAAATATCAAGGAGGAAGTCGCGCTTAGACATTGTTGGTATGATTATGTACTTCTTAGAATATTAAAGTCCAAAAATAGACCAAAAAAGATAACTGCATGCCCAGTACTTTAAATGCAGATGACTCTAGGGCAGGCAGAGGCAAACCAGTCGGTGCTTTGACATCGAGTTCTACTGCGTTTTAGCTTTAATAATTATCTTGATCCCAGAAAATGTGAACTAAATAGGTCTCAAACGCCATCACTGAGGTGACATCCCAATAAAGTCTTTTTTGTGTGCGTTTTTCAGTGGCCGACCATTTTAAGGAGGTACTAAAGCAGTCTGGTCTGCACCCTAAGCCAGCAGGGTTGGTTTTGCAGTATGGCACAGCTGGATTTAGGACCAACGCCAAACAACTGGACCACGTCATGTTCAGGATGGGTTTGTTGGCCACGCTGCGCTCCAAGAAGACCAAAGCTACAATCGGAGTCATGGTGACGGCATCACACAACCCTGAGGTCAGGCCGGAAGTCTGTATTAATTAAAGCAAACTGTGCTTTGTCTTAGACAGCCTCTTTTACAAACTTGGCATCATCGCCCATTTCCTGTCTGCATTAGGAGGATAACGGCGTGAAGCTCGTTGACCCGATGGGGGAGATGTTGACGGCGACATGGGAGGGTTTTGCCACCCAGCTGACCAACACGGAGCAGGAAGAGCTGCTCACAACTCTGACGGACATCATCGAGAAGGAGGCCATAGACATGAGCCAGAAGGCAAACGTGTTTGTGGGAAAAGACACCAGGTATAATACTCACACCCAAACAGGCGACTACTGAAAAACTAATGGGTTCAATCAGTCCATGTGCTGTGTTTGTAGGAGCAGCAGTGCCAGCCTTTCACAAGCAGTGCTGGATGGCGTTCATGCCCTCGGTGGTCACAGCAAARGTARAGTTKGTTTGAATTATCCCAGAATGTTTATTTTTAGTGTTTATGCATCTGCTTACTGTTATCTACCCACTGTTGCTCGCTGTCCTGTCCTGTCAGATTACGGTTTGGTCACCACCCCACAGCTACACTACATGGTTTGCTGTCAGAACACACACGGGAAATACGGAGACGCCACGTTGGAAGGATACTACAGCAAACTCTGCCAGGCTTTCCTCCAGCTCACCAAAAATGTGAGGAAAATACGATGCAGTTGGATTTTCTTGTTTTTATTGTAGTTTTTATGTAGTTTTATGTAGTTTTTATTGTAGTGTTGTACTTGAGACAAGTCTTTTGCTGGTCTTGTCTCGGACTTGACCATACTTGTACTTGGTCTTGTCCCAATCTTGAACATTGAGGATTCAGGATTTTATTTCAAGACTACAACTGTGGAGTTATCACTTAATTGTCAGAATATTGTCCAATTTATTCCTTAGTTTCATTGGATGCAAAACGTACTAATTCTGAGCCAATCTTTTTATCATCAGATAGAAAGGAAGCACAAAGAATGGTGAGCTATGTGGGAGTTATGCTAACAAACTAGCTAGCTAACGTTAGCAATCTGTTGCTGTATTCAAAGCCTTTACCTGGCCCTCACAAAGAGATTTACTCAGTATTAAGTTAGCTACCTCTGTACTGTACACTGTGTGTTTTAGGGCACTAGTTCCCATTTTTATTCTGGTCTCAGTCTTGACTTGGTCTCACACTACTTTACTGACTTCATTTGACTTGGTCATTACTTGTTTTCATCAGGCGTCAAACCGCACGGACGACCAGAAGCACCTCTGTGTCGACGGTGCAAACGGGATCGGGGCCCTTAAGTTGCGAGAGATGGAGAGCCGCTTGAAAAAGGAGCTGCAGATTTCCATCTTCAACGACGGCAGCAAAGGAAGACTGAACCATCAGTGTGGAGCCGACTTTGTCAAAGTACAGCAGAGACCTTCGACAGGTGCAGCGCCAGGCAACAAGGGGACTGCGTGTTTGATTTCTGCTCTTTTGGATGGAAATGAAGAGTCAGAGAAGCCAGTTGCTTCAGTCAGGGCTAATACTAAACTTTTTTTTATTCTATCAGTGAGTTGGAAAGATCAAACTTAGAAGACACATGAAAAACTGACCAAGCAGCTTATTTTGTTGTTGCTATTGACACTTATTTTGAGCGTCTGGCACCCGGTATAAGATTTATTCCCAAGAAGCATTCGTACAACAAAGAAATAATCTACCAAACACAAATTTCCTTACTTTTTTGATAAGTATGTTTATGGTGGTAAAATTTGAAAATAACATTTTAGTAGCACTAGACGAGCATGAGCTGACTGAGACAGGAAGGTAAAAAAAGAAAGTTTAAAGTGATCCCTGATTAGTTGTAACATAAGACTTTGATAAACATTTATTTTAACTGTAAAATAAAGACTAAAAATACTGTAGGCTGTTTAGTTTTGTGAATTTTTAAAAATATATTTTAACACAGACAGAGCCATTTTTTTACACACAAAGCATTCTGGGTAAATGATGACGTGGATAGGTCCTTGGTGTGAGCGAGCTATATCCACCCTGAAGGTTAATCTTGGACAATATCTGATGATCGACTCTTAAATGAAACCAGAGAGCGTTGACAGAGAGGAGAAGGTAGAAATGACTCAGCCTGTAACTGAAAATATGGATGGAGGACAACAGAGCTGCTTCATGGAAGAAGAACCTCAGCTTAGCCTGTTAGCCTTCGAGCTAGCGCCAACGCTATATTGCCTTATATGTAGTAACTCGGCGCCAGCGCGACAAACTAACAAGCTAAACTGAGGTCCTCCATCCCTATTTTCAGTTGCAGGTTTGCCTTCCCCTCTCTGTCGTGGATCGAGGACCTCAGTGATGAGAGGAGAATGTGTAGTCCTGAGCTAATACATATATATATGGAGATAGTGTCGTGGCTAATGCTAAAGCTAACAAGCTAAGCTGAGGTTCTTCTTCCATGAAGCAGCTCTGTTGTTCTCCATCCATATTTTCAGTTACAGGCTGAGTCATTTCTACCTTCTCCTCTCTGTCAACGCTCTCTGGTTTCATTTAAAAGAGTCGATCATCAGATATTGTCCAAGACTAACCTTCAGGGTGGATATAGCTCGCTAGCAGCCTCGCACCGAGGACCTATCCACATCATTATTTACCCAGAATGCTTTGCGTGTAAATAAAATGGCCCTGTCCGTGTAATATATTTTTAAACTTTTAGTTTAAAAATGATAAAAACTAAACAGCCTACAGTATTTATACAGTCTTTATTTTACAGTTAAAATATGTTTATCAAATAAAGTCTAATGTTACAACTAATCATGGATCCCTTTTAAGGATGTTAAGCCAATCAGAAAGATTTCAAGCCCCACCTCAAAGATTCCAGACAGGTTGTAAAATTTCTCACCCTAAACTCTTATTCCAGCATAGTTTTCGAGGATTATTTCTTTGTTTTCTCCCTTTTGTCACATCGTTCTCTTCTCCACCTAAAGGCATCAACGTGAACCCAGGAGACCGTTGCTGTTCCTTTGACGGAGACGCCGACCGAATAGTTTATTACTACACCGACTCTCAGGGGCTCTTCCACCTGCTGGACGGAGACAAGATCGCCACTCTCATCAGCACTTTTCTTAAAGAGCTGCTCGTTCAGGTACGCTCTCAAAAACTAACGTAAACCATAAATAGGCAGGCCCTCGCTAAACCGTTCTCCTTCGGACAAACAGGCTGGTCTAGACTTGAAGATAGCCGTGGTGCAAACTGCCTATGCCAATGGAAGCTCAACACACTACCTGGAGAACACTATGAAGGTGAGTTCAGCTTTTTTTTGCTTTCATATTCATATTGAGAAGTTTTCATAGACTTTGATCTGATATAGGTGATTGTGAAGTGCACAAAGACCGGTGTGAAGCATCTCCATCATGCAGCTCTGGAGTTTGATGTTGGTGTGTACTTCGAGGCAAATGGACATGGGACTGTAAGTAGAAAAATACTTTAATTTAAAAAGTACTAATATTTACCAGTCTTTTGATGACATGAACAGTAGTTTAGGTCATCTGAAAAAGAGTCTAACTTCTCACTTTTAAGGTTTTATAAACCTAGCATGAAAAAAGCGGTAATTTGTGTTTGATCAAATATTTCTTTATTGTAATGATGCTTCTTGGCAATAAATTTTTATATTATTGGAAATCCTTTTTTATTTCCTCTTAAATTGTGGAATTAGGGAAATGCATTTGTGAGCAGAGCAGAGTTGAGTTTGTGGGTCGTGCCTGTAAAATAAACTTGCCAAATCTCTGCTTTTATCAAACAGCATATTCTGCTATTGGCTTTCGATTGCACCATGTCTCATTTATTTACCGTCTGATCCATAGACATGAATAAGATCACTAGACTGAGCCCCGCCCATACCATCCACTGGTGGCATCTGTAACAG